AGCATTTAGGCCTTAAGTCTGAAAAATACTGATGTGCTCAGCTTCAAGGAGAAAAAAGCCTGGAGGTGAATTTATAGAAAATAATCAAATTTAAGCACACTCGCAATATTGGTCAGAAAAATGTAATTGAATATTTTCAAATCATTCAACCCTAGTGGTCACAGCTCTGTAAATAAATAAGGTCTTTACTAAAGAATTATTGAAGAACCCTTTTTAAGTGTTTACTGTATACTAATACTCTTTACTCATATGCTAAATGGGATAATATTCAGACATATCCAGCTTTTAAGCTTACAAGAAGCAAGACATAAACCTTATTAGCTTACTTTTGCTTCTAGTCTCTCATGAATTAGCATGAAAATGACGAATGCTGTTTTCCTGCAGGTGGAAGACCTCGTTTGGTCCAGGTTTGGCAAATAGGTCACACTCTTTTGTGGATGAGGAAATGTAATTTACAGGCTAGAAACACACATCCCTGACAGTTTGAGGTTTATTGACGGGCATATTGTGTGTGTGTGTGTGTGTGTGTGTGTGTGTGTGTGTGTGTTTCAGAGACTTGTATTGAGTGAATGGATTTTCCTGTGTTCTTGTTCACCCCCTGAGGATTCAGACAGAAGGCTGTGTGATCGGGGGAGAGCTGAACCAGCCTGAGAAGGTCACATATGCCTCTCTTAAAGCACAGAGTTGAGAAACTAAAAAACACTCATATAAATATCACTGACTTTTTCACTGTGTATTCTGATGAAACTATGAAAAATTGAGGTGTAATGTACCTCTTTATTTTTTTTTATATCAACACATATATTTCCATCTCTCCTGACTTTCTTTTCATATATAGAAATACATTAATGTAAAGAGTGTTGAAAAGCATTAATAAAACATTAAAAATAAATCATTAATAAAGCAAGGTTTGCATTACATGATTAGATGATTTATACGGTTCTTAATTTTGTTGTTTTCTTTTCAACAGATGGTCAAAAAACAGTAGTTTAGAATCCCTGAAAGGCTGTGCATAGTTTGTTATTGTTTAATTAAGTTTATTATTTTTTTTTATTTTGTTTACAAAATCAGATTAATTGGTATTCAATAGATTACTGATTAATAAGAGAATTTTTAGCAACAGCCCTTCTTTATTATCCTTTTTTTAAAATAGATAACTAACAGGGACTTATGATAAAACATATACAAAACAGCTTTTAAGTTTAATAAACAGCTGTAATGCTTGTTATTCTAAAACAATAAAGTAAAAAGAAGATTATAAAAGAACATATGGCCTGTTGGTCTAAGATTAGTTAGCCAGTTGCTGAACTGCTTATTTGCTTCTTCAGGGTGAAAAGCAGAGCTGTTTTGGGAGGCATATTTGGCAGCTCATAAAAATATTGTGCTCCATACTCCAGTTAAAAACACGCATGAAGAACAAATTGAGCAAAGTATTTCCATTACCTTCATCTCTGGGGAAATTTCAGTTCTGTTACACTCCCACTGATCACCTCAGGCAGTCTGAAGCACTTTGGACACTCCTTATGCACCTATACACAGGTCAAGATCTCATGCCAATAAACACACTGATGTACCCTGCAACAAGGGGGGTACAAATACTCTGCTTACATGGGAGCCGCCCTTGTTTCTCTTTTAGCTGACACAGGCTGACAATCTGGACTTCTTGTGTACAGCCTTGTTATAATGTTAGAGATGTCGGTCCCATGCTGCCCTCCATGGGCTGTGAGAGCAGTAACTCACTAGCTTGGCAACCCTACTGCCAGGTGTAGCTTTAGCCCCTTTATAGCACCTGCACATCAGGGGTGTTTCCTGTACAACGATGGAGTTTAGCATTGAACTAACATGGTGCGATGTATCGTTAAACTGTCATCTGAAGTACATCAGTTTCCCAAAACTGTTCTCCTGAGTGGCTCCCTTGTGAGCTTGACAATGTAGTTGTTATTAGATAGATAATTATTATAGGTAATTATTGAAGAATTGGAGCCTGCTGGGACTGATTGGTGGGGCCTTGATTACAGCCACTCCAGTGCTTGAGCACAGGGGTTCCCAATCCCAGTCTTGGTGACCCTGCACTATGCACATTTTCTGCTTTGTCTTGTTTAGCATACCTGATTCACCTCTCTAAATAATCTCGTTTGCTGGATAAGATGTGCAACATAGGGAAAACACCAAAATAAGCAGAGCTTGTAGTTGCCAGGAATGAGATTGGGAACCTCTGTTGTAACAGAAGCACTGCAAAGACTTTTCTATCAGTAGCTGAGACATCTATTCACAGCTTACTGTTCTTTCACATGCAAGTGATGTGAATTTATTATCAAATAAAGTCATTTTTCATGGGACTACAGTCAAGCTCAGCCCTTCAGTGGACGCCATGCTTGACGGAGCACCCTTGAATGTGGCAACTCAGGCCAACATTATATCCTATCTACAGCTGCAAAAGATTCACTTTCCCAAATGGATTTACTGAGCACTGTTTTATCTAGCCTTGGCTGTTTCAGGCCCAGATATTCCCTGCCCACAACCTGCAGTCCTATTGTTTTTCTGGAAATATACTTTTTTTTTTCTCAGAAGGCAATGGTGAATTCCACATTACACTTAAGATGTCATGTTACGTTCTGAGTACATGAACTTTTAACTCATTAATGGTTCACGTCCATCCCAGATTTGCTTACTTTATTTACCCATCACCCTCAAACAGAGGTGATACACTTTGCTTGCTATGACAGGCATGTCAGTTCAAAGCTTTGCCCTTTGGCCACATAATAGGAGGGTGCTGGTGGCTTATGGCCAATTGAAAGCAACAAGCATGAAAATTCTGCCCTATTAAGATGACTGGCTCTGCTGTGCTCCCAGAAGGAGCCCTGGTGGACAAATGGCTGTTCTAGAGACTGATTGTGAATCAGCAGCAGAGGTTCCTTACCTTGACAGTTCAGACTATCCAGTTCATAGGTCTGTTTCTGGGCTAATGTTCCATGACAGCCTCACTGTCTTCTGCTAGCACAGAAGTCATTCTCTGCCTCTTTTTTCTTATTAGGCTAGACAGCCGATTGGCATCACACACACTGCTGCATTTAGTGGGTGCGTTGACAGATGCTACCACAGTTATTCCTCCTGGGCCTGATGTTCCAGATGTGGCTGCGAGGCTTACATCTGGATGCTGTAAAGCACAAACACATCATGGTGGGAATCACACATCAACGCATGACAGCCCTAGCTCCCTGGGGGCAAAGGTATTTTCTCTTTGACAAAGTGCCTTTGGGACCCCTTGCGCAGGAAAATGGACGTACTCAACTGGGGGCAGTTTGGCATCAACATGGAATCAGTGGCCATGAAACACATCAATCTGTTGGAGCTACATTCTGTTCATCTGGCTCTTCAGGGGAGTGCCAGGTGCACCTGCAGATGACTTGGTACACAAACAGCATGGTTTTGGTGCCTTTATTTGCCAGTGGAAACTCAACCTTGTGCTGCCTGGGGCTCTTTTTTATAAAATCCATCATACCTACTGGGCCTTTATGTGCTGATTGATGTGTTGATGCATTACTGGTTAGACCATCTGCTTTTTCTTTTCCTGTTATTTCCCTTTTTGGAATTTTTAGGCAGAATTCAGAGTTGCAACCGCTGTGTTCTACTGGTAGACTGCCTAGCTGTATTTTCCATTGCCGAAGCCCTTTTTAGAGGGCTAATCATAATAGCTCCTGCTCAGTGCATTCCAGGATAATGTTCCCATGGTATAATAGTTCCTAAAATTCATGAGACATTTTTGCTTATCACTAGGATATGGAAGGATTATTCTTAGGTACATGCAATGGTCAGAGCCTTTACCCTCCTAGAAATCTGCTATAGGATTTTCGGTTAGGCTTTATGCGGCCATTAAATTTTACCAAGGACTACATGCTCTGGCCTAAGATGCATTTACTGTCTATGAGTCCAATATGGTTGCCGTGGAGTCTGACATTATTGTATATAAGCCAAAGTATCTGTATGTTTCCATCCAATGCCTTATACTTTTCTTTTCTTTGAATATCAAACAGTAAGCGAAGACAACAAAAAATGTGCTGTCTGACGTTTAGTTAACTTAAATATTTAAGCCAGCTTTATTACTTACTTCAGGTTAAAACATCTTTTTTTAACAGTGAATTCAACATATTTGTACATAGAACATTAAATATAAAACCAGAAATGGTGCAACCAGCAGACTGTTCCATTATCATCAAAAGATGGTGAGCTACAATCCTTTTAATGCCAAAGCCACCTGCAGGTAGGGGTCCAGGCCAACCCTGGGAAGTACAGGCCAACCCCAAATCCCTGACCCTGGTGGCACTTTTAATTTGTACAGTGTATCATCCCAGTCTCTGTACTTGTGGTTTTGGCAGTGGTGGTTTAAATTTGGCTGAGATGTGGCCTCTAATGGCTGTAAACAGGCTGGGTTCCAGCAACCGCATCTTGCTCTGTCCTGTGATATCATTCTATGTGGTATGTGGGCAGCAAGTAATTGCCAGATGCGGTCTGGGTTTGGGCCATTTCAGATTTGATATCTGGGAACGCATCTGCGGCCAGCAGGAATGACAAAGAACACCAGATATGAATGTAACCGTAATGTCTGTGAGTTCTGGATTCAAATGAGTTTGGCGTAGAGGACATCTCTCATCTGAAAAGCTAAATTACTGTTTGTGTAACACAGTATGATATGGTATGTTTTAGTATAACGTCTTAATGTGTGCACAGGTGCGCTAGGAATATTGACTAATTTACATTGCTGTGGTCTGGAGTTTATAGAAACATGGTAACATTTGCAAGTAGCATTTAGTAGCTGACAAAGCTGCAGGATGTGTACATGTGTGTCTATGTATGCAAGTTCTAAGAGCACTTTTACTGAATATCAGTGCTAAAATAACTCTAGATACTCTAATAGTTCTGCCTTAGGTCTTCATATGTATGATTTTCATGTTGTATTTGCGGTTACTCTCCATCTGACACTTTTTTCTTTTTTCCTTGAGGCCAGAGATCATGCATCGCAGACACACCACCCTGCGAGAGAAGGGGCGTCGCCAGGCCATTCGAGGCCCCGCTTACATGTTTAACGAGCGTGGGACCAGTCTAACCGCAGAGGAGGAACGTTTCCTTGATGCTGCAGAGTATGGAAACATCCCTGTTGTTCGCAAGATGCTAGAAGAGTCCAAAACCCTTAACTTTAACTGTGTAGACTACATGGGCCAGAATGCATTGCAGCTTGCTGTTGGAAATGAGCACCTGGAAGTTACAGAGCTGCTCCTCAAGAAGGAAGGGCTTGCAAGAGTGGGTGATGCTCTTTTACTGGCAATTAGCAAAGGCTACGTACGAATTGTTGAAGCCATCTTGGCTCACCCAGCCTTTGCAGGAGGACTGAGACTAACGTTAAGTCCTCTGGAGCAAGAACTGAGAGACGATGACTTTTACGCATACGATGAGGATGGGACGCGCTTCTCCCAAGACGTAACGCCGGTGATTCTGGCCGCACACTGTCAGGAGTACGAGATTGTACACATCCTGCTGATGAAGGGTGCCAGAATTGAGCGGCCACACGACTACTTCTGCAAATGCAGTGAGTGCACAGAAAAACAGCGCCGTGATTCCTTCAGCCACTCACGCTCACGAATGAACGCGTATAAAGGGCTCGCTAGCGCCGCCTACCTGTCTCTCTCAAGTGAAGACCCTGTACTCACTGCTCTGGAGCTCAGCAATGAGCTGGCACGGCTTGCCAACATAGAGACAGAGTTTAAGGTAAGCACTTATTTATAATGCTTTTTTTTGTTTCTTAGTCATTCAAGTGGAACCTGGATTTCAAAAATGAAATTTAGCATTAACTATGTACTACCAGTTGAGCTTAACTATGAGCTACCAGTTCTACTGGTTAAGATTTTGGCAAGTATTTGTGTAATAGGTCTGGGTGATGATTTCCAGTATTGTTAGCACCATTTGCCTGGGAGCTCCAGTTCTAAATGAAAGAAGCAAAATTTGAACCCAAACAGGCATTGGCTGATTGACTACATCTGAAGTAAGCAGATAATCATATAAAGTAGATTTTTGGGTTCCAGTTAATGCCAGATAGAATAGCATTAGTAATATGCACTCATTCAAGTTACAACAAACGAGGCAGAATTTGCATTGCCTTGCAAAAGGTACTTTCATATTTTCATATTTCATTTTTCTTCTGCTTCTAATTATGCTATTACCAAAATTCTTGTGGATTACAGTAGTCTGGTTTTGAATACAGGACCACTTTTCAGCTGCGCTGTATTTGAACAGTTAGCTTTGCCTTCTACTTGGCAAAAAAGAGGTGCTGTTGTCTATTACCAGATTTTGTTATTACATTAAAATGAGGTTGATTAAAACAGGACTACTATTACCAAGGGTGCTCTGAGTTTAGCAAATTATAGAAGGTATTTTCCTCCAGAGTTATTATTTAGCAGATTTGTAAAACTATGGTTATTACTAATACATACAGTTTTCAAATGATGAATGTTGTCGATAATTATTCAAATTACAGCACCACCAGTTTGAGTAGGGAATAAGGGATGAAAATTTGTACATGAAATTTACCAAGCTCTCTTAATTTATCAGAATTAAAGTAACTAACATTAGAATGAAAGAAGTTATTGTGCCTGTAGAATTCAACATTTTGTTTTTGTACTGTTCTGATTGGCTGCTCTATATTGAGCCTGATTCAAAAAAGTAATCTTGACTAAAACACTCTTTATAACCTTAACATGAATGGTCTGGCTGACCTCCTGTAGGCTGAATAGGTGGGTATATGTTAATGGGTTTTGTGACATCACAAAATCAGTGACTTTCAAATGGACTGTTTTTGTAGGTTCATTTCTATATATAGGCAGTATGGACTGGCGAAGTAATGACACATTTTGTAATTTTAACAATGTTTGCATACTATGTCCAAACATTTTTATTTCAAAAACTGAAGAAAATTAGTTTTACTATAATATGGGCTCCTCAAGAAGAATGATTTGCATAATTAATAAATTCATAATAACATTTACAGACTCTATTCTTTAACTATCATAAACTATTTTAGATGATGACTAAAAGAGTGGAGGGGAGAGCAATAGAGAGGATATCTTGGGTAGAAGGCAGATGGGAGCAGAGGAGAGAGGAGGAGAGGAGAGTCAGACTGACAGGAGAGGAATGGAGAGGAGAGAGAACAGAGAAGAGGAGGAGAAGTGAAGAATTAGAAGAAGAATCAGGAGATGAAAAGCAGTCGTGGCGGTGGTGCGTGTATGTTAGGGCTCAGATGGCAGCGTGTGCGTTCTGCACAGAGTTGTAAATTAAGGAGTCTCTCCTGCAGGAGCTTGTGTAATTAGCTACCACTTGTCTCTCCACAGCTGTGTGTGTATGGGCACGTATGTGTGTGTCTGTGTAGGGGTGGGAGGGAGTCTGTTTCCAAGGTAAGCTGAGGTAAAGCAGTCTGGCAGTCTTTACTGGTGGAAACGGAGCATGCTCACAGCTGCCTCTCCACACATGCTGATTACAAATGTACTGCACGACTCTAATCCACAGAAAAGTCACACTCTTCTGATCAGCCTTCAGCCGGAGTCTTTGGATCTCTCACAGGCTGCTTTTAAACAGCCAGGAAAACTGTGTCAAAAAATTGTTTTTCAGTTTATCTGGTTGTAGATGCCACTCCGAATGGAAAGAACAGTTATTTGATGCTTCGCCGTTTACTGTTTGTTGAACTCTCATGTTAAAGCACCCATGTCCTACATTTTCCTTGTATGTTTTTTTTCCCCCTAAGGTCCACTTACAATGTGTGTGTGGGTTTATATACCAAAAACAGTCATAATTCAGGCGCTGCTGTAGGCAGATATGTATTTAAATGCGTTGGTTTTTGTGACGTCACAAAAACAATTAATCTGAAATGAGCTGTTCTTGCAGCTTAGTTTCCTCATGTAGACTATATGGACTGGGAAGAACGTGTTGCATTTTGAAAATTTGAAAAAATTACATTTTTGTGTTTACATGCAGCTTTCCATGATATGGGCCCTTAGATTTAGAACTAGATTTCTTATTTTATTTCTTTTATTTTTTTAAACATTTTAAAATACCCTCTAGGGTTTAGCTTATAGTATTTCAGTCTACACTGTGCAAGTTATTATTGAATAAAATAACAGTAATTATTAGTATGACAAGTGATTCCAAACTTTTGAATGATAGAGTACATATGTGTACTATACACATGTTATATGATGTCACTTTTACTGGTCAGTTACAGGGGTTGCATTATAAATCCGCTAATTATCGCTATGGGCAGCAATCAGATTAATTGAGGACAGTGCCTAACAATGCAGTGGTGGTAGATGAAAATGTAGAAGGAGAGACCAGAGGTCAGTTTTTCTGCTCAACGCAAAGTCCGAAGTGCTTTATTAGTGTGGAAATTCTACACAAATCGAAAATTCCACTGCAAACTGCGTAAGACTTTACTGAAATACAGGCTCGTTATCCAGACCAGGTAGGTTTTTAGAACTGCCATAGGAAAGGGCCATTTGAATGACATGCAAAACATCCAATCACTAACATTTACACAATATGTGCAACAAAAACAAACTTGCAGTGCCAATCGGCAAATGCACAAGGATATCTCGTTTATTTACTGCCTACAGTTTCAAACACAATTCTGGAATACCATTTTCAAACGGCCTACCATGAATGTTCCCTAGTTCAACAACCAGGCCTCTACCTCACTCTAAAAGGATTATTGGTGAATAGAGAGCTACCTCTTGCTACAAGCACTTAGCTTGATGAACAATGGTTTGTTTCCTGTTAGACAGTGCATGGAACACAGCCAGATTAAATTCTCTGTGAGAAAATTCTTCTGCATATCTCACACCTCAAACCACGACAGCATCTGCCTTTCTAGCCCCCATAGCTGCTAATAAAATACTTCTCACTGACATCCGAGTTTTTTTTTTTCTAATGTAGTCTACTCGACTATGTTTTTAAATGACTAGTTGCCTAGTGAAAACGAAGGTGTCAGTCAACAAGTCAGTTATGACCAACATTTGGGAAAGTAAAGGCAGATATATGTACTTCCTGGAGTTTCATGCTAAGACTCTTAGGACTTCCCAAATGCATCATGAGCACTTAAATATCTGTGATGAATGGAGGCCACCATTGCTGTTGAGTAGAAATTGAGTAGAAATATGATGTTCTGAGATATTTAAAATAGTTGTTGTGAAATAAGCTTTGAGCAGATTAGATCAAGAGCATGGACTTTGTTGTTTTTTATTTTAGTGTTTTCATATTTAATTTTTATCAGTTTGTTTAATTTTTTAAACTTTTCATTATTGTTATTTGTTCTGACTTTTGTTTTCTGTCTTTAAACAATTTTTTGAATACTCTTACAAATTCTGCTGTAATCAGATAGAGATGGAGATGGGCTGGAGTGTACCAGAACAGTGTTCTGGGAGTAAAAAACAGGCCAGAACAGCGATCCAGCTCAGATTTTACATTCTAGGTAATGCAGTTTTTTTAGTAGGTAAAACTGCATAGAGTTGTTTTCCTCCATTTCTAAAGTAAAGTAATGATACTGAGCTAAATAGTCTACTTCAATATCTAAATATATAAAAATATAACTGAATGGGCAGTGGACAATTTTTAGATTCCTAGCTAAGTAGATCACATCTTATGTGAGTAAAATAGTGGTTGTTTTGACAAGCGCTTGATGAAAGGCTTGTTTGGTAGTTACAAATAATCCTGCTGTTCATTTAACCCCTTAACATTTCAGGCATATTAGATACTAAGGCTTATTATTCAGTAACTACAGGGAAAATAATGGAGCTTTTCTTAGGTTATAGAAGTGTGTAATAAAACTTTTGGCTTGGTAAGGGGTTAACTTCACATGTTGTACAAAAATGCTTAGTGTTATAGTTTTAAATGCTTCTCACATTATCATTATAGATCATCAGCAAAGGCTCCGTCCATCTCAGTGACTTAAATACTGTACCAGAGGGCAGCATCAGTGCTGTTGCCATTGACGATGAGGCTGGTTGCTGTGGGCGACATGTGTCCTGGAGTTACGTGGGGTGTGCTGATGGAACGTCCAGAGTTGTAATTGAATGAGGCCGGTTGTGGCTTAGAATGATATTCTGAAATAGTCTCATCATTCTAACTAGTAGAGCCTGTACTGTTAGGAAATGTAATTACATTTCACAATAGAGTATATTCTGTTTGACAGCATCCAAGGGTGAAATGGATGTTGGAGGAGGAGATGGCTGTTAATCCAGTTAGGGAGGTATAGGTAAGATGTGAGATGTGAAGTTTTAAAAAGTATTTGTGCCATCTGTCCTTAGGTTACTGTATGACATTGCTAATAACCCTTTTTCACACTAGCTATAAAGTGCAATTTCTGCCTGCTTTGGTCAGCCCTCAAATTGTGGATTTTTTTCCTGAACAATGTTGATGGAATTTATTTTCGTAATGGAAATGTGTATGATTTATAAAAACAAAGTGGAAGCTAACTGGGTTTTTGTCTTAGTAGGGGAGCAAGCAAGTCAACATTTCATTGTATTTAACTGCTACTTTTATTGTGGGAGTTGTGCACAATTTTTGATATCAAGAAAGCTGCAGTTGTGCTGTCCATTTTATCTAGGGGCAACTGTTTTTTGTGGAGAGGTGTGAATTGTTTTCAGGGGGTTGTCACCCCCTCCTTTCACCCATCATTGCTTACTAGCAGCTCAACACAGAGACACAGCATTTTGCACAAGAGTGCC